GGATGTTTTGTCACTATCGTTGTATTATTGCTGGTGAGTGGTAACCATAAAAAGTCGATTTTAGTATTACTTTAAAATTTTCTACTGACAACTGCCTTGGAAGAAATACTGAATTTCACTGTGAGGTTGGTGGAAATAAAATATACTCTGCCCCATCCTCATTCACAGATTCTTTGGGATGCTGGCTAAGAGCCTTGTCTTAGAGCCAGTAATGTCTTGGAGTGGAAAGGAAGTCAGGTCAGGAGAGCACATTGCTTCCTGCCCACCAGCCTTCTGACCCTGGGTCCCTAAATCCTGGAACTGTCATGGCTTTGGTCCTTCCCAAATCCTGCCTGTTCCACTTTTCTCTCAGTTCTATAATGGCCCTTCAATAATTTCTTCTTACTTCTTAGAGTTAGGGCTTCCCTGATAGCTCAGCTAGTAAAGAATCCATCTGCAATGTGGGAGACCTGGGTTCAATCCTTGGGTTGGGAAGATCCCCTGGAGAAGGGAAAGGCTACCCACTCCGCTCCAGAATTCTGGCCTGGAGAATTCCATAGATTGTATAGTCCATGGGGTCGCAAAGAGTCGGACACGACTGAGGGGCTTTCACTCATGCTTAGAGTTAATGTGATATTTCTCTTCTGACAGCCACTTTCTCAGCTCCAGGACTTCCAGCCTGGAGTCATGGCACAAGAGGGAATTTGGGGCACAGAAGGCTCAAACGACTGAGTGGCTGTGTGTGTTGGGTTCATTACTTAGTCCAGCACAGAACACAGGAAGAAGACTTCTGGGGGCAGGGGTGTGAATTCAGTGAGATGACACGTCTGCTCTGTGATTACAGGGACTTATTCTCAGCTGAATCTGTGGGAGCTATCTGAGAACACAGGGAGCAAGATGAATGGATAAAGAAGATACGGTACCTATACTCAGCCATTAAAAGCAACAAAATTGGGTGATTCGTCGAGATGTGGATGGACCTAGAGACTTTCATACAGAGTGAAGTAAGTCAGAAAAACAAACGGTGTGTATTAATGCATATATGTGGGCTCTAGAAAAAATGGTACAGGTGAACCTGTTTGCAGGGCAGGAATGGAGACACAGACACAGAGAGTGGACATGTGGACACGGGGGTGAAGGGGAGGGTGGGACGAATCGGGAGGTTGGGACTGACGTATGTTCACTGCCATGTGTAAAACAGCTGCTCGTGGGAACCTGCCATATGGCAGAGGGAGCTCAGCTCGGGGCTCTGAGGTGACCTGCAGGGGTGGACAGCGGGCAGGGAGGTCCAGGGGGGGATACATGTACACACACAGCTGATTCACTTCGTTGTATAGCAAAAACCAACACAATATTGTAAAGCAACTATTCCCCAGTTTTAAAAATACATATGCCTTGGCCTAATGAATACTGTTTCCAAAACTCTCTGCAAACTGAAATGCAACATGAATTGCTGTATCCACTTTCTCCAGGGTGGAGAGAGCTGATTTCAAAGTTGTCTCAATCTTGCTTTCTCCTTCTTTCCTTGGATCTTTACCCTAAATCTGTGTTGGAACCCAGGGAATTTGCCTGCTTCCCCTCATGCCTGATTTCCTAAAGTCAGAAAAGCCACCTTTCTTAAATGCAAGGTGGGTGGGTCCATATTAATAGGTTGGGAAGGAAGGAGGAACTTCATTTCTTTTGTCCTCAGGGTACATTTTGTCCTCAGCCACATTCAATGGCTCTGGAATTGATGCTGAGATGACACTTCCATTCTGGGCAGAGACAGAGCTGTTGGACACAGAGTAAATGTTTCCCAGAGAGTCCAGCTGAAAGAAAACTCAGGGACTTCCCCAGTGGTTTCAGTGGTTAAGAATCCACCTCCCAGTGCCGGGGACATGGACATGATCTCTGGTCAGGGAAGACTCCACATGCGAGGGACAACTAGGTCCATGAGCCACACCCACTGAGCCTGAGCCCCGAGGCCTCGCTCAGCAACAAGGGGAGTCACTGCATCGAGAAGCCGGCTCCAAGCAACAGAGAGCCAGTGCAGCCAAGAGTAAATCAGTAAACAACTCGGGACACAGAGGTGTAAAACTAGAGGGAAATGGCATTTCTTTAAAGGACAGAAAACCCTTAGTAGCACTGGGGGGCTGTTGCAAGCCGTAAGGACGTACGTCTCCAAGTCCTTCATGCACACACTGGTAAGGATGGGGACCAGCGTGCCAGATACAGATGTGTCTTACAGATGAGCAAAGGAAAGGAGGATATTGACACAGCCCTGTCTGAGGTGGTGATCCCTGCTGCTTCTGGGTCTGTGAGGTCAGTGTGTCTGTTATTAGCAAAAGGGAAAAAGTCAGGGAGAAGTTTAAGGAGCGGTGGCGCTAGCCAGAAGTTATGCGTTTCAGCCTGGGGATCACAAGGACCCACCTAAGCCACAGGGACTGCGTGTCTTTGGACTGAAGGAAAAGCCCCTCGGCTGCTTCAGCGCGCACGGCGAGCCGCGGGGAGGCCGGACTGCCTTCCGGAGCAGACGCGGCCGCCCGGACCGCCGACGGGCTGAGGCCCTGGTCGATGCTGCCCCCTGGAGGTCAACGTGGGGACCGCGGCTCCCTTTCCCGCTCTTGGTCTTCCTGCCGTCAGAGGGCTGCGGTAGATTCCAGGGTCGGTTCGACGTCCCCGGAAACTGTGTGCTCCAATATAACCGTAATGCTTCCCGGCCCCAGTATGTAAGCCCCCTCATATTCCAGCAATGCCCCTCGGGGAGGCCTGCATAAAAGCATGCTTCTCTGTCCAGAGTGTGTATTTGGGTTTGGGGTTGGACAGGACAAGGGAAATCCAGAACTTCGAAAATAAGGTACCAGCATGCACGGCCCTTCTCCCGCTGGCGCCTTAGCTGGCCTTCGACGAAGACACCTGTGTCGGCAATCTCCCTCGCGGGCTATCCAGAGACGCCCCCGCACCCCGACCCCCTTTTCTGGGAAACTGCTCTGTCAAAGCAACCTACGTCTCCCTAGTCCCAAAGCCTGGGCCCTTCTCGTCCTCCTCGAGCTGGGGCAGGGATCAGGTCAGCGTGAGGATATCTGGGTGCCGGTGGAGGCGGAGTGGTGGGGTGCGAGGAACAGGAAAGGAAGATGGGGGCACGAAGGTTCCCGGCCACGGGCCCCCAGAGAGCTCGCGGTGCCCCCGTCAGAACGCCACCGCCCAGCACGCGGCGGGCCTCAAGGAAGGTCTGCGGGGGAGTCAGGGCGGGCAAAGCCGCGAGGATGCCGAGAGGAGGCGAGGGTGGCGGGGACGCGGGGTACGGTCTTTAAGGCCTCTTCCCTGCACCCTCGGCATCCCCATCGGGCTCCTCAGACCGTCTGAGGCCGAAGCTCCGAGGTGCGTGTCCCGAGGCTGGTCCGCGGGCCGCTCTCGGAGCCTGGGCGGCACCACCAAAAGGCGGCCGCCCATCCGCTGCATTCTCCGCCTTAACCCCGCGAAGCGCGGTCCTCGCTCCCAGCCCCGGCGCTTTGCACCCTGATTCTCCCCGCCTCCGCGTGCGGGCTGGGCCGGGATCCAGAGGGTCCAAGCGGCCACTTGGGGGAGTGAGTAGGCCGGTGGGTGGGGGATGTCCCCGAGTTACCATCCCCCCCTGACTGCACTGGCCGCCCCCTTCGCATTTACAGGCACCATGTCTTCTCGGTCTAAAGTCTGAGTTCAACCAGGACCGTATGGGCAGCGGCAGGAAAGCGCCGAGACACAGGAAGGGATGAGACGGCCACACTGCAGACCTGGCCCGCTCACGGCCCAGTGCGTGGGAACTGCAGCCCCCTAGCAAGGGCTGTGGAGAAGGCAATGGCACCCCACTCCAGTACTCTTGCCTGGAAAATCCCATGGACGGAGGAGCCTGGTAGGCTGCAGTCCACGGGGTCGCTAAGAGTCGGACACGACTGAGCGACTTCCCTTTCATTTTTCACTTTCATGCATTGGAGGAGGAAATAGCAACCCACTCCAGTATTCTTGCCTGGAGAATCCCAGGGATGGGGAAGCCTGGTGGGCTGCTGTCTATGGGGTCGCACAGAGTCGGACACGACTGAAGTGACTGAGCAGCAGCAGCAGCAGCAGCAAGGGCTGTGATGGCCACACCAAAGGAGCTAGGGAGCTGACCCTCAAGGAGAGAAGGCAATCCCAGCGTCAACCTGGGAAGGCCAGAGGCAAGGAGAGCTGGCATCTGCCTTAGGGGAGCCAAGGCAGCCTGCATCTGCCATTTTCACCAGGGTCACTTCCTCCTCCAGGCTGGTTACTCCTGAAACAGTTCCCACCCTAAAACCAACGCAACCACTTTGGCCTGAAGGAACTGGAGGTCAGAGGTAACCATCTGCCCCGAGTTTCTGGACACCCACGAGAAAGAGATGCAGGCCTGGAGGCAGTCAGAGCAGAGACAGGGCTACCTGAAGGCCCCAGGAGGAAGGAGAAAAGAAACGGGAAAAGAGTGTTACATCATACTAAGTATTTATTGTTTTCTGCAGACTGACCTTGATGTAACTCTCAAGCCAGGAGGGGACTGATTAGTGTTCAAGTTGCTGAGATCTTAGGTCAAAAGGCGACAAAAAACAAATCACTTTGAGTGGAAGAAAAAAAAAAGCCAACCATTATGAAACAGTCTTCCCCTGCCACACCAACAAGAGTCCAGGCTTCACACCTCATGACATGCTGACAAGAGCTGAGTGAACCACAAGGTTTTACTGGGAGAAGTAAAAAGCCTTGGGGGTGGGGCGGTGGGAGTAAAGAGAGGAATGACAAAACTGGAAAGATAATAGAGGTTATTTTGGAAGCCCAGGAGGAAGTGGTCCTGGGAAACCTGAAGACATGGGAGATTCCCAAAGCCAAGGGGAACCAGCTTATCCTGTCGAAGCAGGGTCCTGGGAATGAAGGCAGAGAGAAGCATGTGAGAACCTAGGAGGCAAGGGGGGAACTGGCAGGGAGCCCCAGGTGAAGAAGGGGATGGGATGGGGCACAGAAGTCCGTGGAGAGGGCTGGCGGCCCACAGGCCCGGCGCGTCAGAAGTTGGGCTTGTGCTTCTTGAGTTCCACCATGAGGTGGTGGATGTTGATGAGCTCGGCCCGGGCAGGGAGGGCTCGCAGCTGCGGCTGAGACAGCACCCGGTGGAAGCGATGATAGAGCTGGATCAGCTGGGTCAGAGCTCCCTGCTCAGAGAAAGGCATGGAGGGATGAGATGCAGGGTGATGCTAAGGATGATGATAGCCGTCAGCTTAGGGCTCAGCCAGAACTTTGGGCACAGCTGGTAGTTGAAGATCAAGGGTCACTTGTATGATTCCGAGCCCCGAGAAAACAGGAGGGCAATCCAGTGGTGGGGCGGGGTGGGAGTGGGGACTGGGAGTCGCAGGTTACCTGGATGATGCTGGTTCCATTTCTGAAGTTGGTGAAGCTCCGCATCACATCCTGACTCAGAGACTCCACCGACGATTTCCAGGAACTGCCGAAGCCACGGATCAGCTGAGTAACCCGGGCTGAGAGGAGGAGGAAAAAGATCACGGCTAAGTGACGTCTGATCCCACTACATCCTCCCCAGGGTACAGCCATCCTCACCCTGCAACCCCTCTTTTCTGGGGTTCTCCTGACCCCCTCTTTCGTGCTTGACACCCTCCCCATGTAATCTGCATCCCTGAATTTTTCTTTTCCATTCACCTTTCCCCAGACCCCACCACAACCACTCCATCCTCAGACCTTCTTCCCCTCGAAGTCGATCCGCTTGTCCACGCTCAATCAAAGCTTCAGCTTCCTTTACAAATGCCACCAGGCCCCCAAAGGGGGGAGACAGCAACTCTTCAATGAATTCCTGTAGGAATGCACACACAGAGTTGAGTTTCCTGGGGTAGGCACATTTTTCCCAATTCTGGCATCATGACCAACTCGGTCCTTAGAACACTCCCATAAGAACATCTAACAAAAGTCATATACTTTAAGACACTGTTGGTCTCACAAGAGGTAGTGGAAATTTCCTCCCTTCTCAAAAAAAAATAAATAAACTGCAAAACTTTTTTTAGTTAAATTTTTAAAAATTGAGCTGGGAGCAGAGGGCTAGAACCAGAGAAGCAGGCCCTGAGCACCTGGGAGAGGCAGGGCTACAGGAAAGTAAATGATCACGGGAGGTCTGCTATCAGGAAGCTGAGCTGATGCGGCCTTGAGTGGAGATGCTGAGCCTGGTCTCATGGGAGCCTCTGAGAGGTGCCAGTGTAGACACAGGTGGATGGCACCTTTCAGCTACTGCAAAAGCAGAGACAAGTCTTCTCTGAAATCTCCCTGATCCCCAGTTAGGCCCCGATGACTGCCCCTGATTGAGACCAAGAAAGGAGCTCAAAGATACCCAGTCACAGAAGCAAGAAGCTACCACGAGTCAGAATAGACAATAAGCAGTGGACTTAGATCCAAGACTGCCAGTATTAACACTGTCACATACAGAGCAGCTGTACATTCTGTATGAAATGTTCAAAAGAAGTTAAAGACACGGACACAAACACGACCTACTACCAAGCTCAGAAACAGATAGACTTGAAACAAAATGGGATTTTAAAGAAATGATTTAGAAGAAAACAATTTTTTTTTTAATTAAAAAAATAGTCAGCTGGCTAAACTGCAGATTAGATATACCTGGAAAAATGATTGAGCAAATTGGAATTTATAATTGAAGAAATGACTAATGAAGCATAGATAAGGAGATGGAAATTTTTGAGACACTGAGAGATCTAAAAACCTAATGGTCTAGGCGGTGATCACTGATGGCCACTGGCAAAAAGCAAGCCAAGAAGACATTAAGTGTCCTGAGAGAAGTACACACCACTACCTCTTAAACAGCCTTATAAAAAAAAATCTAACTGGAATCTGATCAAGCCTTTCCATTGAATCACACATTTATGGGAAAAGAAGAACAGTTGAGGCACGCTTTGCAATGCAGTCAGCAAAATCCAGACTCTACGTCATTCTACATGACAAATGACTCAATTTCTTCCACAAATAAATTGCAAAGAAGAGGTAGGGAGGAGACAGAAGGGAAATCTATAGTTCAGCGAGATATACAGGGACTTCCCTGGTTGTCAAGTGGTTAAGACTCCACACTCTCAATGCAGGGGGCTCAGCCTGGATCCCTGGTCAGGGAACTAGATCCCACACGCTGCAGCTAAGACCCGGCACAGCCAAATAAATTAAAAGAGAGAGAGAGGCATGTATGGACTGTATATGGATCCTGACTTGAACCACTGTTTATAAGTGGGGATACCTGAATACTAGCTACTTTGAGAGTGATTCTTTCTTTTCCAGGCCACCTCAAGTGAAAGCCCCAAGTCCTATTTTTTTTTAAAGTGTGATAAAGTATTGTGGTTTAAAAAAACATATCCTGACACAGATGAAGTGATAGTGATGTACAGAATTTAATGCAAAATCACTGAGGTTTGGGGGACGGATGGGAGGATGAACAATGGGTTCTGATACAGATGAAACAACTGTCCTGTTATTGGATGAAGATCTATGATGGCCCCTGGGGGTTCACCATGCTATCCTCTACATAGCACATACATCTGAAATTTCCCAAAACACAAAGTTAAAATGAAAAGGCAAACAAACAAACAGAAAACAGTGGAAGCGAGGGACTTCCTTGGCAGTCCGGTGGACATAGGTTTGATCCCTGAATAGGGAATTAAGGTCCCACATGCTTCAGAGGAACTAAGCCCATGGGCTGCAACGACTGGGCCCTCTCCCTCCAAAGCCCATGTGCCACAACGAGAGTCTGTGCGCAGCAACGAAAGATCCTGTGTGAAGCAACCAACACCTGATGCAGCCAAATAAATAAATATTTTTTTAAAAAATGGAAGGGTGGGATTAAAATAGAAAAAAAAAAAAGGAAAGAAAAACAAAAAACCCAACCCAAATAGTAAGATCTAGTAAAGTGAAGGTAGAACTTTCATTCCACTTAAAAATAAACTACTTATATTTAAAAATAAACTCTTTTGTGGAATCTAAAATATGGCACAAATGAATCTATCTACAAAACAGGAAGAGACTCACAGACATAGAGAACAGATCTGTGGTTGCCAAGGGGGAGGGAGGTGCAGGAGGGATGGATTAGGGGTTTGGGGTTAGGGGATGCAAACTATTAAATGGGACGGACAAACAACAAGGTCCTACTGCATATCACAGGGGGTTCTACCTAGTATCCTGGGATAAACCATAATGGAAAGGAATATGAAAAAGAGTGTACATATGTGTGTAACTGAGTCACTTTGCTGCACGGCAGAAATTAACACAACATTGTAGATCAACTATACATCAATAACGTGCTCAGCTGCTGAGTCGTGGCTGGCTCTCTGTGACTCTATGGACTGTAGCCCACCACGGAACTTTCTAGGCAAGAATACTGGAGTGGGTCGCCATTTCCTTCTGCAGATATATCAATAACAAATAAAATCATTTCCATTTTTCCCACAAAACATCCACTTATATCCACTGAAGGCTGCAAGATAACTAACAGGAGATGAGGAAGACATTCCCAAGAACAGATCTTTCCATAATTAAGGAATCTTTATTTGTGACGTGATTTGGGACAGAGATCACTCAACCAAATTCAACCTATTATAGTTGCCTAAATGCAATAAACTCACAATACTCTTTAAACAGTGGGCAGCAAAGGCGGTGGATGCAAAGCTAAGTTCAACTAACAGAGATGACCTGTCCTAACAGTCACCATGAATCACATGTAACAATTGATCACTTGAAAACAAGGCTAGTTGAAACTGAAATGTGCTCTGAACATACACACCAGGCTAAGAGACTTCACACAGGAAAACTTTTCAAATGAATCATTACTCATTTATTTGTGGATAAATAATGTTGAAATGACAGTATCTTGGACATAGTGCTTTTAGTAAAACATATTAAATTTGTTTCACCTGTTTCTTTTTTGTCTATAAAATTTGGACACTAGAAAATCTGAGGCATCTACTATATTTCTATGGGACAGCAGTGGTCTAGAGTTGGATGGACCTTCTTTAAGCACTCTATCCAGCCGAAGAGAGTGAGTTTTTGTTTGTTTGTTTTGACCTTGCGGCCCAGCTTGTGGGATCTGTTTCCCCACCAGGGATCGAACCTGTGGCCTCTGCAGTGGAAGCACGGAGTCCTGACTTTTGGACTGCCAGGAGAGGGTGTTCTGACCACCAGAAGGAAGCAGCACGCTGGGCTTTGGCTCGTAATCTCTCCCCCACAGTACTGAGCAGCAGCCCGCCCGAAGGGACAGGGACCATCCCCAGCAGGAGAGCCTCCAGGCCTCAGCGGCGCTCAGCAGAGCCCTCCGCCTCCCTGAGCACATCTCTCTGGAGTCAGAGGGTCTAGAGAACTGCGGTTCTGGAGGCAGAGCTGACATTCCCTCTGGTCACCTAACTGTGCAGGTGAGGACAACAGGTTCCTTTCTCATCTAACTAAACATTTATTTTACAAAACAGAGAGAGCAGAATGGGAACATTTAACCTATAACTGACCAGATCCCAGGAGAGAAGAAAGACAGGAGGAAAGCAATGTTTAAAAAAACACTGGCTGTGGGAGAAGGGGCAAGACAGGGATAGGGACTGAAGAGGTACAAACCATTATGTACAAAATAAATAAGGTACAAGGAGATATGATATAGCACAGGGAACACAGACAGTATTTCACATTTAAAAGGAATATAGGGACTTCCTGGCTACCCAGTGGTTAGGATTCTGTGCTTTCACTGCAGAGGATGTGCGTTCAGTCCCCGGGGGTAAACTGAGCGCCCACAAGTCACGTGGTTCAGCCAAGAGAAAAGTAAAGAACATAAAGGCATTTTAAAAACACAAGTAGGACGGAAAAGAACACTGGTCAATAATTAGCAGGGAAAGCAGAAAGGGAGGGGTGATTGATGCATTAAAACATTTTAAATGTTTAAAAGTCCATGTATTACTTGAGACAGGGGTTAAATATTAAGTTTAGATGTTAAGCTAAATATATGAAGTAAAATTTAAAGGGCTAATTCCAAAAGAATGGAGTACAAAATTCAAACAATTAGAGACAGAAAAAAAGTGGTAAGAAAAATAAAGGCAAGAAAAAAGACACATGACAAACAGAAAACTAAAGATGGCTGAAAAAAGTAGAACTGTCACATTAATCACAATAAACATTAAAAAAAAAGACAAATTAAAGGGCAGAGATAATTCAATTGGATTTTTAAAATGCCAGCTATTGCTATTTTTAAGACTTAAAATGTGAAAATATGAAAAGGAAAGTAAAAAGAAAGTAAAGTAAAAAATTGGAAATTTTTTAAAAAGTGCAAATAAATTAATAAGCAAATATTAACTAAAATAAACTGGAAGAGCTATGTTAATGTAAAATATAATAGGCTTTAAAAGAAAGTTACTAGGGCTAAAATGGGTCATTATATACTGGCAAATGCTTCAAGTCAGAAGTAAGATCGTATGATTCTAAACTTTTGAGAATTTAGACAAAATAAGCTGCAACTATATAAAACAAGATCTGATAAAACCACAGTGAAAAAGTGATAAACTTATGAATTTCAAAACATCTCTCTCAACTACTGACCAAAAAAAAATCAGTAAAGATGTAAGTGAGGTAAATAACAATTAAAGAGCTTGACTCCCACACCTGACAATCACAGAACACACAGTCTCCTCAAGCACACGGATCATTTTCAAAAGCCGGTCATGTCCTAGGCCAGAGCAAACCTAAAAAATTTCAAATTTTCAGTACCAAGAGGCCACATTCTCCATTCACAATGCAACTGTTAAACATCAATAACAAAAAGGCTTTTGGAAATTTTAAAACACTTCTAAACAATCTTATGGATTAAAGAATAGTTGAAATATAAAAGTCCTTTGCACTGAATAATAAAAATGCTACATATTCAAACCCACAGAACTCAATAAAAGCAGTCTTTAGAGCAAATTTCATAGTTTTAAATCTTCCTAGATGTTTGTGCTGGCAAGTTCTAAGATACTTTAAAGGAAGAGATCATTTCAATCTCAAAATCTTTAAGAATAAAAAGAATGAAGAAATCCTTCCTTCCCACCTGCCTCTACAAATCCAGTGTGACTTTGGTACCAAAATGACATAAGGGCAGGACAAGGAAAGAATATTATAGGCCTATCTCATTTCTGCACAGAGAAGCAGAAATTCTGTATGAATCAGACCAAATCCAGAATGGTTTAACATTCTAAAATCTACAAATGTAATATGCCACTTGATAGATTTTTTTAAAAAATTGAAGTATAGTTGATTTGCAATGCTGTGAGTACATGTATGTTGAATGAATATACATGTATACATATATATGTATTCTTTTACAGATTCTTATCCTTTATAGATTATGAGATATTAAATATATTTCTCTATACTATACAGTAGATCCTTGTTGTTTATCTACTTTATATATAGTTCTGTATATCTGTTAATCCCAAAGTCCTAATTTTTTTAAATTAAATATATGATTACCTCAACAACTGCAGAAAAAGCATACATCCCTGATTAAAAATTCAATACCCATTCATGATTTAAAAAACAACAGTAACTCCTGGAATACTAGGGACTGAAAGAAATTGTTCTTTACCTGATAAAGGATATCTATTAAAAAAAAAAAAACCTACAATAACAGTACTCTTAACGGGGAAATGATGAAAGCATTTGTTTTAAAGTTAGGAAGGGACTTTCATCGTGGTCCAGTGGCTAAGGCAGGGGGCCTGGGTGCCATCCTTGGTCAAAGAACTAGATCCTACATGCCACAACTAAAAAGAAAAAAATAATCCCACATGGCACAGCCAAATAAATAAATAAATATTTTTTTTAAATTAAGAAAAAGTAAGGGTTCTCACTGTCACCCTTCTATTCAACCACTCAGCTTTAAACTGGAGGTACTAGCCAGTGCAGTAAGAGAATAAAGACATAGGAATAAAATAGGAAGAACTGAAACTGTCACAATTCAGAGATGATGAATGCCTACACAGGAACACACATCTCCAGAAGGATTATTAGAAATAACTTAGGAAGTGGCTGGCTATATAATCCATATACAAAAATCAACAGCACTTTATATATCAGTTCAGACAAGTAAATTTCCTTTTGAAAAGATAACATTTAACAGTTCATTTAAAAGACAAATTCTAAAAGAATAAAGTCCAAACAATTAGGGGGGAAAGATGAGGTCATTATTTCTAGTAATTTCAAGTATTATTCTTAGTAATTACTCCTAAATAAATGTAGATCCCTGGTCCCGGAAGATCCCACATACAGCAGGGCAACTAAGTCTGAGAGCCGTAACTACTGAGCCCACTCGCCTGAGAGCCCGTGCTCCGCAACGAGAGAGAAGCCCCATTCGCCACAACTAGAAAAAGCCCAAGCAGAGCACCAAAGACCAACACAGCCCAAAATTAATATAAATAAATAACTTAATTAACTTTAAAAATAATGAGCTACAGCCTCATGTCATAACAGGACAATACTAGAAAAGTTATGCGTGAAATAATCCTGCGATTCTGTTACTACAGCACTCAAAACCAAAACTGAATAGTTACTGTTTTGGCATACAGTTTTTTTTTTCTTTCTTTTTTGGTTGTGTGCTGCAGGATCTTAGTTTCCCAACCAGGGATCGAACCCACATCCCCTGCAGTGGAAGCCAAGAGTCCCGACCACTGGACTGCCAGGGAATTCCCTATAGCTCTATTATTCCCTATAGCCAGGGCACGACAAACACAGCACTGAGGTCGATAAGCGCCTCTACTCGAGAGACAGCGAGGGGCTGAGGGAGAATTCAGACTTTGATGTTAGTTATTGCCAAGGCGTGCGGTAGCTTTGTGGCTGTCTGTATCATTAAAAACAAAGAAGAAAATAAAACAGACCAATAATGACAACATGCTGTGAATCATGGGTTGTGTAACAATTCCACTTCCGTGTACCTGGAGTCGGCTGCCACTGCAAGCACGTGCGCGCACACACACACTGAACTAAACAGCACACATGTGACTTCCCTGGTGGTCTAGTGGTTAAGAATCCGCCTTCCAATGCAGGGGACGTGGGTTCAGTCCCTGGCTGGGGAACTAAGGCTCTACATGCGATGGGGCAACTAAGCCCTCGAGCCAGAAGTACCAAGCCCTGTGCAGCAACGAGAAGCCGGAGCACCCCAACAGAGACGCAGGGCAGCCAAAGACACCAACAAAACGCAGCACCGGGCTGTCCCTGCCCTCTCCCCACACCCCTACCTGTGTCCGCGCGTTGAGCAGCTGCTGGAAACTTTCAACCTCTTTGCTGTCATCCGCCGCCCGCTCCTGAGGAAGACAGAGGGAAAACTCAAGTTTGGGGAGAAGCTCCCCTTCATGTCAGAATATCCCTGTCCTTCCACATTCACCATACGGAGCCGGACACCATGTCAGACCCCAGGAAGAAAACTCTTGACAAGGCCAACATGATCTCTGCACTCGTGGAGGAAAGGGGGCAGAGGGAGGACCCGAGGTCTTGAGGGAGGGCGACGGGGGAAGGGGCTTCTGGTACCATCAGCACCCCCAGCATCATGTCGTAGTTGTTGATCAGAAACACAAGCTGCTCCTTCCTCGAGGAGAACTCAGCTGCCACCCGGAGGACAAAATTCTCCACCTCCACCTGAAAAAAAGACCGAAAGGAGGGGGTGACAGGTCGCCCCCCCACACTTCGGCCCCGGGCGACAGGGGGCCCCTCCTGCACCCCGGCACCTGGAGCTGGCCCAGCAGCTGCATGGTCCGTTCGTTGGGAATCGTCTGATTGATGCTGACAAGAGCCGAGGAGAATTCTGCGTATCGGCGTGTGATCTGGGAGTAGGAAGGCGGGATGAAAACTCACGCTAACCCCCTGGCTCAACCCACAAACCCCCCCTCTCCTCCCCGACCCCCTCAAAGCTGGCCAACCAGCCTCCGGGTGATCCCCACCTCCAGGCCCTCCCACCACAGCGCCCAGCCCACACTCCCAGGGCGCCCCCACATAGGGTGGCCACGTGTCCAGCTAGGGCCAGAGACAGTCCCAAGGCCGAGTGACCACACAGTGGGGCTTCCACCCCACCTTTCAGCAGCCCCCGTCACCCTGCCCGCACTCACGTAGTGAGGCCGAGTGTCCAGCCCGCCGAGGCGCTGAGGGTCAGTGCTGCGGACGCTCTGCACGTTCATCTCCAGGATCAGCTCGAACCGCGGCCACAACAAGGCGAGCACCTGCTCCCAGTACCTGCGGGCACGGTCAGAATCACAGACCTGGCGAGGGGTCTCAGGGCGGGGCGGGAGAAACCTGATGGAGGGGTGGCCACCAGCGCAGGGAGGAGTGCGTGTGAGCGGGGAGTCTGGAGACAGCAGTGCCGCCTCCAGGCAGACAAATGGGACCAGGGTCAGCAGTTCACGTCGGGGGAGCCCACGGGTCCGGGCAGGCTTGTGCAGGACCAAGACCTGAAGACCAGCGGGGCATCAAGGACCAGAACTCAGAGACCTGTCCAGGGCAGGAACGTCCCTCTTGGCTGTGATGTTGCGGAACCGGAGGACGATGTGGATGCAGAGGAAAACAGCAATGGCATCGTAACAGTCAACGAGGTAAGACTCCAGGTGTTTCTGTGGTTTAGGATTTGGAAACAGGCAGAGGACTGAAGTGTCTCTTTCCCAGTGACCACGGACAGATGCATGTGCTCCTTTGGGGACGTGACACTTGGGGGTGCAGGGAGAGATCTAAATGGAAAATGCTCCCCATTTCCTGTCCACCAGCCACTCACGGGGTCCTGCAGCCTTGCTTACCTAATCTATGATCACAAGCCCATCACAGCAGAATTCAGAGCCAGGAACCAAGGTTGAAGGGCCCCTGAGTGTTTGGGTGCTATTGCCTGGGTGTGAATCACAAGGAGAGGGGCCCCAGGGACCCCAGGCTTTGATGGTTTTGTGGGGAGTCACACAGTGAGAATGAGCTCATGCGTTCTAAAACGAGGGGATCCTGGTTTCAGTGCCCCAGGACCGTGACCTCACTGCAGTGCTGAGGACTGGGGACAGGGCCGAGCAGCCCAGGAGCAAGGGAGCTCACCTGGGTCATGCTGAGAGTGCGGCCCATGACAGCGTGGAACAGGTCGTGGGCAGCCGGGCCAGACACCACAAAGAACTCACAGATGAAGAGGTATTCACGGCAGGAGTTGTCGAGGAGGGCGTAGTGCTGGCTGCGGAAGAGGGCCTCGAAAGGATACTAGGATGGGAGAGGTAGGAAGAGACACAGACAGGTGGACCCCAGTCCTGGCTCTCCGTGGACATGGCTGGAACATCAGCTCAACTGGGAACCGGTAGCTCAGAAGATCCTCCCCATCTAACCCTCGTTCAGGCTGTGAAAGAGCTTCCTGAACAGGTACTGAAGGGCAGGGGCGGGATGGGGGGAGCACTACACGAAAATAGCCCACCCCCGCCTGCTGTTGCTGCTCCTGCATTTACCGCCACACCTGCCTAATGACCTATCACCCTCTGTAACACCCCGAGTCAATGGTCCAACCCTCTTCTCATCGCAGAGTGCGGGGGCTACTGGAGATGGGGACTCCCCCGGGGCCTGCAGCCAGGAAGATCTGGCCTGAGCTCTGTGCTCAGAGCCCCACCCCGAGGCTGAGGCTGGCTCTCCCTCCTACCCTCTGCTCCCCCCGCTGGGCAGTGTGGGGCACAAGGATGGGGGCTTCCAGTTCAGCGGGGGAGATGACAGAGCCCCGGGTCCCCAGGGTGAAGATGGTGTTCCTGCTGCGGAGGGAGGGCTTTGAGAAGAATCGTGAAGGGCCAGAGTCAAGGAAAACAGTCAGATCACAACTGTGATGGAAGATCAAAGACCCAGGACCTCCAGGGGCCCCCAGCAGCCAGACATGGCCTCGGGGTCCCTCCTCCCGTCTTGGGGCCCCACTTCACCTGACATCTGTGAATGGGCTCCAGGGAGCCTCTATGCTCCCTGACATCATATGCAAAACTCAGTGTTAGGATGATCTGTGCATTTTTCTGAGGAGGGAGGCTCCCGCCTTGATCTCATTCTCCAAGTTTTGGTCCCACAGAAAAAGGAAAGCAGCAGGGCCTTGGAGCTAGAAGCCCTTCCCTCTCCAGGCCCAGCAGGAGCACCCCTCAGCTCCAGGATATCTTTCTTGGCTGTATCTTCCACGCCCATTAGGTCATCCTTCTCAGCGACTTCCTCATACTAGATAAAAGAAGAGAGAGAACTAGAAACTATTTCTTCCCAATGTACAACATAAAAAAGATGTACAACAAAAAAAGAAGTCCCTCCTCCCAACCCAGGCACCCAGAGCACCTCTCCTTCTACAGGCTCACCTGCACCTTCATGAGCCGCCCCAGGTAAGAGCGATAGTAAGACAGGTATATCTTGCTCAGCGTCTCCACGTACTCATCCCTGATTTCCTTCGCAGTGGCTCGTTCGTTGCCCAGCAGGAACTGATAGAAAAACCTGGAGCAGTCAGGGACCAGTCAGTCTCCCAGCCAGCCCCCCAGGACACCCGCCCTTTCTCTGGGTGGCGACCTGTATTTCAGCAGGGCTGTCTGTGGGATCTGATAGTTGGTCATTGGCTTTCTGAAGGAATAAATCTTCTGAAGGATGAACTCTCGGATCTTTGTCACAGCCTAGAAGTGAGGGACCAAACACAGGGCATGAAGCTGCAGCCTTCTCACTGCCTGGGAAGTACCGAGGGAAGGAACGAATGTTGACTATTGGAGAAGCAAGAGTAGAGAACACCTCTTTGATATCTGTTTAGACTTTCAGAGGAACCCAGAAATGTGAGGATGAGCCCTGCCACGTAAAGGCAAGGAGAAGTTCTTCGGGGTGGGCTACAGTGAGCTTTGCCAGGGCAATCCAGGGTAGAGGTCTAAGGGAGGCTGGTTTGAGTCATTTCTAGGGTGTCCACCGCCACTTCCCACCTTGACTCGGAGGCGGTCGAGCACGCCCCGGACATCTGCACAGGCCGCTGTGCCTCTAGCCTCCTGCTCCCGGACCGCAGCTGCCTTAGCATCCAGCTCCTGCAGCTGCTCCAAGAACCGGGGCTCTGTGACTGGTGCCTCCAAAATTGCCCTGGGGAGCAGGGAGGGGTGGGATGAGTGAGGAGGGAGACCCAGACACCCCGAGACTCTAAACCATACCCCTGGCATCCAGCTTCTGTCTCCTCTCCCTTCGTACACTGCATCATAGGGTCAGAACACATGCACAATTTTCTGTTCCTGGACGCACATACCTCCATCACCCACATCAGCCTTAAACCCCTCCTCAATGCGTGACCCCAGATGATTCCTGTTCCTTAAAGCCTGAGTCAGGCTAAGAAAGAGCTGTTAGCTACCCATCATTTTCTGGAAAGTGAGTGATAACCTGGAGCCAGGAGCCCCACGTTGTTAAGGAGGGTAGGTGACGCCAGCCTATCTGCTTTATAGAAAGCAGATGCTGTTGTCCTTTGTTATTCAGTCACTCAGTCGTGTCCAACTCTTTGCAACCCCATGGCTTGCACCACGCCAGGCCTCCCTGTCCCTCACTATCTCCTGGAGTTTGCCCAAGTTCATATCCACTGAATCTGTGATACCATACAACCATCTCATCCTCTGTCTTCTGCCTTCAATCTTTCCCAGCAGCAGGATCTTTTCCAATGAGTTAGCTGTGACATTAGGACCCTTCAAACTAGTGACTCACGTGACCAGAGCAGAGGGCACCACGAGACCATCAACAAGCTCCCCAAGTTTCCCCCGGACAGCCTGGCGGTTCCGCAGTCGAATGTTCATGGCTCCTGACTGTTCCTGCAGTGTCCGGATCTCAGAGCTGATGGAGCTGAGATCACTCTGAAAAGCTCCCAACATCTGCTCCATGCGCTGGGAGAAGGCAGAAGTGCTGCTGAATAGCCATAGGATTGGTAGAGGACAAGTTTCTAGGTAAAGTCTCTAATACTTAGCAAATTATGAGAATAGTGGATGATAAGGAGAGAGGTACCCCAAAGGCAAATAACAATGTTAGTCATGGCAGCAACAACAAAAAAGGCTGCTAAGATCATCCTCAAAACATCTCTAACTGTCCCTGCCTGAGGCAGATGGCTTAAAGAATGGTCCTAAAGACCATGATCTGCGCTTAGGGACAGGAGGGGTCCCACGGCATGGTTACTAACCTCAAGGACAGCATCGCAGGCTGTGATCTGATTGTGCAGGGATGCTATGTTCTCACTCTCTTGGATATCTGACTCACAACAAGTCAAGGGGCCTCACTATGGAAATGGAGATTCTCAGACTTCCGCAGGACCTCTCCAATTTCTCCCTGAGGTGACAGAAACCTCAGAGAGAAGATGGCAGCCCTGGCTGGGCTGTCAGCACCATACCCCCACAAAATGCCCATTTTAATAACAGCACCCTCTCCTCTGTTGGAGGATACAATCCCGAATGGATTTCTGCTCAATCTGCTGTAGCTCCAGCTCAACCTGCTTTGAATAGTGACGAAGATCCACACCCTGGGAGAACAGAAACGTGAGAGGGTCAGGAGGGAGTCAGTGAAGGGACACTGGAACAGAGTCAATGAAGGACTAGAGAAAAAGACACCAGGGTGATACTAGGAGCGCAAAGGACTTCCTTCTTTCCTTTAAGGGGAGGGTTCATGGAGGGGCAGATTAGTACACTGGAAAGCCTCACCGTTTTAAGAGCTTCCTTTACTAACTCATCCTCCAGATTCGCCTGAATGTGAACTGCAAATAGAAGTTCATCACAAAGGTTCAGCTAATTCTACAGCTCTGTCTCCACACTGAACATCTGCACACCAGTCCCTCCCTTAGTACTTGCAGAGCTCAGCCTCTCAGGTTACACCCCCTGCCATCACTTACCATCCACTTCATCCAGGATGAATTCATCAGAGGTGATGTCCAACTCTCCAATCTGCAAAGGCTCCTGAAGACCTGGACCACCCCCCTGGAGAGGAACAGGTTAATGGGAAAGGGAAGGAGAACAAAATATAACGGAATAGTCACCAATCCTTTGAGTGGTGAAGAGGGACTTTCACTGGGGAATCACAGGTAAATACTGAGTTCACAAAATGTCAAAAGTTTCATATTGTCTCAGTCTAATTGGGGCTGATGGATAGGGAATGGGACAAGGAGACAGGCAACCCACGAAGGGTGAAGGTAACCAAATGAGAAAAATTAGGAGATGCAGAGGGCAGAGTAGAACTTGCAGGTGAATTTAGGATCTCTAGACTGCTGCTACCTTAAATGTTCTATCACCATCCCTCTGGGTCGCCCCAGGTTTCCTACTTGCCAGGTGCCATATTACATATATTCATTCACCCAATCCTAACCCACAACATATATAGTAGGTCTTAGTTTTTTCTCCTTATAGGTGTGGAAAGAAGGGCATAGAGAGGCAAATTAAACTTGCCCGAAATCACACAGAGTATACGTGGCAGGGCTTGAATTAGAGCCCAAGCAATCTGGTTCCACAAGCCATGTTCCTAGACTTTACACTGCTTCTCTATTTTGCCCAAACATCTGGAAGTTAACTGAAATTGTGGCCCCAGAGCCAGAGTCTCGGCCATGCTGACCCCCGCTCAGGTTCAGGTCGGATCCCAAAGAGGCGTTTGGAGAGCCAAGCCGGGTAGCATCAATGGCAGCTGTGAGTTCCCACCCTTGTGCCTACACCCAGCCCAGGCCTTCCTGACATGAAGAGACTGGACAAGACTCTGAAGGAGAAACAGCCCTGCTTCTCACCAGCGGGCCCTCCTCCTCCTCCATATCTGAGGCCCCGGCCCGCAACACCAGCTCGCGAGCAGCTGCCGCCATGGTCGCAGCGGCGGCCATTCCGCGCAGCCTCACTTCCGGCAGCTGTCAGTCAGGTGAATCTTTTCCCCGGAATGGAACTACAGGCCTTGGAGTGTCTTGCACGGCTCGAAATCGGTCCCAGATATTTGTTTGCCTGCAGTCTTCCTGTTTCAGCTGTAACCGCTTCACCCAAGTGCAAATGACAAGTGAAATTCTTAAGCACAATCTTCAAACCGGAACCTTTGTTGCTCGCACACACAAGACCTTTACGAACAGTAAAGAAAACCCGCACCGGAAGTCGTGGCGCCCGATTCAGACTCTTGAAGTTTCCGGAAGCGCCTTGCTTAGATAGCCCCGCCCTTTCCGCCTGGTAGCAATATAAGTCTGTTACGTCACTTCCGTTTTCTCTTCCACTGGAGGCCTACACGCCGCCGCCGGGGCCGCCGCCATGGTAAGAGTGGAATCCTTGCGGGGATCTAGCGACATCGGGACTGGGGCGGGGAAGGTCTTGCTGTCAGAGGGTTGAAAATGTCCTGTCTTGGGGGCCTGCAACTTTCTGGGTGGAGCCTCGGATCGCGCTCCTGGAAAAGGACGACTAAAGATATCCAGTCCTGGGGACTGGGGCCAGTGGAAGTACCTCCCCGGGCGCTAGAACGCTTTGGGCGTGTGTGGGGACTTCGGTCTCCGCCACTGAGAGTGTACTTGGGGAAAGGGCAGGAGACACGCTGCTTCCCCGAGGTTGCGTTTTCCCAGGCCTGAACACTTCTCATGTTCCTGTTGTCTGCAGGACTCAGAAGTTTGTTCTGTGGTGAAGACCTGACCGGGGTTTCTTGCTCCCTGTGTGACAATCTTAGCGTTCGTGTTTGAGGTTACGGTTTGATAGTAGTTCTCTGTGTCTGATTTCTCCCTCAATCTCTTTATCAGTCTCTAGTAATCCCTGAGAAGTTCCAGCACATCTTGCGAGTACTCAACACCAACATCGATGGGCGGCGGAAAATTGCCTTTGCCATCACTGCAATTAAGGTAAAGGAGGGTAAGGACTGATGGCTTCACTGGTGGCTCAGACGGTATAGAATCTGCCTGCAATATGGGAGACCAGAGTTTGATCCTTGGGGTTGGGAAGATCCCCTGGAGAATCTCCTCCAGTATTCTTGCCTGGAGAATTCCATGGACAGAGGAGCTTGGAGGGGCAACAGTCCATGGGGTCGTACAGAATCAGACACGACTGAGCGACTAACACACAGGCAGGGTAAAGACTAGAAACTATAGATGGAACTTGAGTTGTTAACACCTGAGCCAAAAGTGAGGCAAGGTGAGGGGAGTCCCAACCAGATTTTCTTGTCTGCTAGGTTAAAAAAAAAAAAAAGATTAAGAGAGCAACTAGTCCTGTTAACCTGTTGCCCCATTTGTCTCAAAAAGTAAGTGAGAAAAGCCAAAGAGTCTCAGGTCAAACCAAGAGATTTCACCTAGGAAATGGGGAAGTTGGGTAAGTACCTTCAAAGTACCATTTGAAGGGTGAGTAGAAATGCCAACAGATTCCAAGTATGAAGACACCTATAGTTACTATGTCAGTGAAATGCAAGCTTGGATATCTCCCTTAACCAACCTAATAAACTCCCAGCCTTCCAGACGGGGATGTTATCCTTTAAAAATATTTTTTTAATTGTGGAAATGACTGAGTGTGTTCTGCCAGCATGTTTACACTTCTTGGAGCCAAGGATAGGCCTTTCTTGCTTAGAATCCCCAGAAGACACTATCATAAGTATTTTACCAATAGTTTGTTTAAAACAGCAAATCCTCATCAGCTTTTCTTTGTGAGATTTCTTTGTCACATTTACTTTTTCATTCTGTAATTCAAGGAGCACGGTTTTCATTCTTAAAGAGTACGTTTCATCTTTTTCTGTGAAACTAGTAAGGCGGTGAAAAATACAGTGCAGGCTCACCTCATTTTATGGAGCTTTGCAGATAATGTGTCTTTTTGTGGCAGCTCTTCTTAAGGCAGTTTTTCAACATTTGTTCACATGGTGTGTGTGTCATATTTTGATGAAATACTTTAAAAGTTTTCACTGGTGTATTTGTTATACCTATCTGTGATCAATGACCTTTGTTACTATTGCAAGAAGATTTAGACTTGCTTGAAGTTCAGATGATGGTTAGTACTTCATAGTAATAAAGTATCTTGATTAAGGTATGTATAGGTTTTCTTAAGAGGCTGTTGCTCACTTAATAGATTATGTAACTATATGTGCTGGGAAACCAAAATACCATGTAGCTCTCTTTTTAAGAATCTCTTAGGGAACCTCATGCCCTGCTTATCACTGGGAAAGATTATTCTAGAGATACACAGGTACTTGGGGTTTTGCTAACTGTGTGGAAAGTCAGCTTTTGCTGGCTCTTCTCTGGTGAGACAGCCAAAGCTTAGAGGTGCCTGGTCTTTTGTTAATGATCTGGAATGTGGGGTTGAGTAATACTTAGAAATTGGAAGGGAGTTGCTGGGGGTGGTGGCTGAGTAGGAGGAGGGATTCCTCAAAAAATTAAAGGAGCAAAGTTAATTGGGAAAGGTGAGGTATCAAAGGTGACGACATAAGCAGAAAAGTGTATTTACTAAGAGGTAACACATCTGCAAGATTTTTCTATGCCATGATCCCTTCTTTTCTTTCCATTAGTACACTTCTGCTATGAATAACTCCTTAAGGTTGGACGGTCCTTCCTCTAAATCAGGATGATAACTGGTCATCTGGATTGTTCGCAGACATGGTTGGAACTAGTCATGAGGACTGAAGGATACCCACTGGTTCTCATAATTGGCAAACAAGTATCTAAATAGGGCTTTCAAAAAGCTTGACAGCAACTCAAAAAAAAAAAAACCTGTTTATCAAAAGTTTTAAACACTAAAAAGTAGGAGAAAGAGAATTATTGGCCCCCTGTTGATGTATCCAAGGGACTCCTGAAAAATCCCTTGGACAGCAGGGAGATCAAACCAGTAATCTTAAGGGAGGTCAACCCTGAATATTCACTGGAAGGACTGATGTTGAAGCTCCAGTATTTTGGTCATCTGATGCTGGGAAAGATTGAGGACAGAAGAGGGCATCAGAGGTGAGATGGCTGGACAGCATCACCGATGCAATGTACATGGAGTGAATCTCAGATGTACCGCCTGTAAATGCTTAGGTTCTGAGACACTTAGATCTTCGTCTCATCTCAATCAATCTGGTAATTTGACGACCGGGTCATTTTCTTTCAGAGAGGAAATACAATTTCCTGGGACCTTTGTGACAGATTTGTTGGCTTAAAACAACAGAAACAATCTCTCAGTTTTGTATGCCAAATATCCTTGGTTTCCTTGTTTCAGCAGCTGCATCACTCTAGTGTCTCACCTTATCACATGGCCTTCTTGCCTGTCTCTGTCCTTTCCTTTTATGAGAATACCAGTCATTGAATTTAACTATTTCTAACCAAAGCCATGTTTTGAGGTTCCAGATGAACAGAAATTTGGTGGAACACTACTCAACCCAGCACAGTCTTTCACTTTCCAAATCTGTTTGGCTCGTGAGTTCAGGTGGCAAGGAGTAACAGCATTGGTGGTGATAGGATGCCACTGGCTTCAGTGTTTATTTTGATCATAGGGATGCAGTGACCTGCCCAAAGGGCCTGTGGCCCTTTGACATGAGCAACTGACAATGCCACCCCTTAACCATTAAATTAAACACCCTTAACTGTTAATTCAGAGAACCTTGATCTTGCTGCCTTGGTGCTCTGTTGACTCTGAGAGGCATCAATTTCATCTCCAGTGTAGAAATCAGAAGGTGGCACTCTTGGGTGCTGCAGCTTTCAGGGGGTATCAAAACTTTTTTTCCCCTTTAATGATCAGGCTTTGTATCTGGAAGAGTATAAGTTATTTTGGACCCTACCTTTGTGTGCCTTTTGAATCATGGATCTATAGAGGAAGCACAGAAGGTCAGACACACAACTCTAAAACCTCTCCTCAGGGTGTGGGGCGAAGATATGCTCATGTGGTGTTGAGGAAAGCAGACATCGACCTCACCAAGAGGGCAGGAGAGCTCACCGAGGACGAGGTGAGGATAGGGGAGGGGGGCTGGGATTGGGCCTGCTTGGAGATGGGGGCTGTCTGGACCTGACCCTTGTCCTGCCTGCCAGGTGGAACGTGTGATCACCATTATGCAGAATCCACGCCAATACAAGATCCCAGACTGGTTCTTAAATAGACAGAAGGACGTGAAGGACGGAAAATACAGCCAGGTGTGTGTGGAGATGGGAGAGCTTAGAGAAAAGCAGGGTGTCTGGTTGGGACTGACTCTAGGAGACCAGGGCACCTGGTAAGCATCTAGAACAGTCATCCCTCAACTGTCTCCCGTCTGTGCAGGTCCTGGCCAACGGTCTAGACAACAAACTCCGCGAAGACCTGGAGCGATTGAAGAAGATTCGGGCCCACAGGGGGCTGCGCCACTTCTGGGGGTGAGTGGGGGCGTGTTTGCCTGTCCTTAAACTCCCAGGGCACTCTCAAGCCCTGTCTTTTCCCAGAGCTTTGCTTTGTGTGCTGAGTAACCTGTCACCTTTGTCTTTACTCCTTGCAGACTTCGCGTCCGAGGCCAGCACACCAAGACCACAGGACGCCGTGGTCGCACTGTGGGTGTGTCCAAGAAGAAATAATGTGTGGGTGTTGTGTTAATAAATAGTTTCTGCAGTTATGGCTTCTTTCTTGTGGTTCTTTGCGTTTTTCTGGAAACTCTTAATAGGGAATATACTTTCATACTGGGCCCTGTTGGTCACTTTTCACACTTGCTTGATGTCCCCACTCAGCTGCCCAGACCTTGTCTTGGTTTTTTTGTTCCATTTGCTGTGCTCAGCCATGGCTGCTCATTGCAGAGCAAGGCTCCGCGGCCGGTAGTGGTGCTCCCCAGGCTCAGTTGCCCTAGGGCATGCGGAGTTCCGGGACCTGGGGTGGGATCTGTGTCCCCTGCGTTGACCGATATATTCTAGGGAACTCCCAACACTCTTGGTCTTGATGAAAGCTTTACTGTTGCCTCCCCCCACTACCAGAAGCAGCCTTTTTACCTATTGGTGCCCCTCTCCAGGTGGGTAGAGGGAGGAGCCACACATTCACCCTCGAGGGGGCGCCCTCGGACTTCCCAAGACCTGGCTCCCCTTGCTGGCTGGCGGGGTGTTGGGGATTGCGCAGGTAGCTGAGCCTAGCCAGGGGCCGGTTAGGTGAGTATCTGTGGGTCTTGACCGCCCTACGTCTCCGAAGGCTGTAGAGATGCTGGTGTTGGTGACCCGGAAACGCTGAGCCCCGCCGCGCGGGGTGGGTGGGGGAGGCGCCGGCCGCACGGCGTCCGGCAGCTGTGGCCGCGGCCCGCGGGTCCAACCCCGCTTCCCGTTTGGGGCAAAGACCCCCTCGCGCCTCCCCTGCTCCCTCCGGTCAGTTGTTCCGCTGAGTGCGCAGCCGCGGAGCTTCCGGCGGGGGACGCGCACGCCACGCCCTCCGGCGGGGAGGGGCGGCGAGCGGAGACGGCCGGCCATGGAGCCGGGCCTCGGCGGCCGCGCCGACCAGGTAACGTCCCCGCGGGCCCCGCCGCGAAGGCAGCTCAGGCCGTCGCCCCGTACCGGGCGTGGCCCGCTGGAGGCCGCTGTCTGAGAGCCGCGCTCCGCGCCCTCTAACCGCGCCCGGTCTCTCCCCCCAGGTGCCCTCTGGCCGCGCCACACCATGCGCCCGGGGCTCTCCCGACGCCTGCTCCTGGCCGCCCTGCTGCTTCTGCTCGTCTGGACCCTCTTTGGGCCCTCAGGCCTCGGGGAGGAGCTGCTGAGCCTCTCCCTGGCCTCCTTGCTCCCGGGCCCGGCCTCGCCCGGGCCGCCTTTGGCCCTGCCCCGCCTCCTGATCCCCAACGAGGCGGCGTGCGGCGCGCCCGGCCCGCCTCCCTTCCTGCTGATCCTGGTGTGCACCGCCCCGGACAACCTGAACCAGAGAAACGCCATTCGGGCCTCCTGGGGCCGCCTGCGCGAGGCCCGCGGGCTCAGGGTGCAGACTGTTTTCCTGTTGGGAGAGCCCAGCTGGGGGTCGCGCGGGAGCGACCTGGTGTGGGAGTCGGCGGCCCACGGGGACATCATGCAGGCGGCCTTCCAGGACTCCTACCGCAACCTCACCCTCAAGACCCTCAGCGGGCTGAGCTGGGCAGACAGACACTGCCCCACGGCCCGCTACATCCTCAAGACTGACGATGATGTGTTCGTCAACGTCCCCGAACTGGTGTCGGAGCTGGTCAGGCGGGGAGGCCGCTGGGAGCAATGGGAGACGGGCGTGGGGCCCCCGAGAAAGGCGAAGCCTGGAGATGAGAAGTGGGACGGAAGCCCCACCTTGGGGAGCCAGCCAGTGCCTCTCTTGTACTTAGGTCGCGTGCATTGGCGGGTGCACCCCTCTCGGTCACCGGGGGGCAAGCACCAGGTATCAGAGGAGCAGTGGCCTCCCTCCTGGGGCCCCTTTCCCCCCTACGCCTCAGGCACGGGCTATGTGCTATCAGCTTCCGCTGTGCAGCTCATCCTGAAGGTGGCCAGCCGGGCACCCCCTCTACCCCTGGAGGATGTCTTTGTGGGGTTAAGTGCCCGCCGAGGAGGCCTTGCCCCAACCCACTGTGTCAAGCTGGCTGGTGCCACCCACTACCCCCTGGATCGGTGCTGCTATGGGAAATTCCTGCTGACATCCCACAAGTTGGACCCCTGGGAGATGCAGGAAGCCTGGAAGCTAGTGGGTGGCTCTGATGGGGAAAGAACTGTACCCTTCTGCTCCTGGCTCCAAGGTGTCCTGGGCATCCTCCGATGCCGGTTAATAGCCTGGCTTCACAGCTGAGAGGGCTTGGGGGTCCAGGAGAGGGGTGTGGAGTGGAGGGTCCAGCCAGCACCCCGCCACCTTCTTTCTCCCAGGCCCAAAGCAGGAGCCCTAGTTGGCTGCAGCCGAGCAAGCTGCTCCACACAGGTGCTCGGGCTGTCACTGAAGAGCGAGGGACACAGGAGGGACCTAGGGGGCTGCCTGGCCTGCCAGCCCCAGAGATGGTCGTCAGGAAGAAACGCACAGCTGGCTGTTCTCTCCAGCCATGGCAGGGGAGGGGCACTGGCCCCTCAATAAACTTGTCTGTTTTCCTCTTTGAGTACAGTGTGGTCCAGGACTCTCAACACAATCCTGGGAAACCCAGAGGCTACAGAGCCTGCTGTTCGGGAAAGCCATCTCTGGGGACGGGAGAGAGTGAACACACCTCTTCCTGGAGGAAGGCCTTAGGGAGCCAGACAAGGCCACAGCAAGACGGGGGTGGGGCCAGAGGGGAGACACGCCCCGGCGTCCGAGAGCAGCCCCAGGCTGGATGTGGGCAGGGGATAGGTTCCCGGGATGATGGAGACACGTTATCCAAAAGTCCACGTTCCTTTTTAATACCGACCACCCCCCACCCCACCCCCACCCCAGGAACCAGCTGTCCACCCCAGGAGGAAGGGGGCTCCCTGCTCCCTCCTCACTCCAGGGACGGGTCATTCCCCACAGGTGGGTGTGGGGAGAGAATGTTGCTCCCGGGCCCCTGGAAGCCTGACTCAGCGCACGAATCTGTCCAGGGCTGACGGCCGGGCCCCGGTGGGCTTGGCCTTCTCTTGCTTCTGCGGCTGCTGCTCCAGGCTCTGGCGGACTTTGTCCTGGGTGGGGAGAGACAAGTGAGAAGCGGCAGGCGGGCGGGGCCAGCAGGAGGGCGCTGCCCGCGGGACGCCCAGCCTGCCCCCGGCGCCCGCTCACCCTGTGCTCCTGGTCCATGACCTTCCTCTTCCTCTTCACCAGACTCGCGGTCGAGCTACGGCCCTTCTGCTTCGGCTTTGGCTGGAAGGGAGCCGTGGCGTCGGGATCGTAGCCCTGAGGGAGGGGACAGGAGTGAAACCTGCAGTCTCCAAGGCAGGGAGCTGCGCTTCTGAGGACGCGGTGGAGACGGGACACGCGGGTGAGGGGCCCTCGGGGCCCGCTCCGTACCAGCCTCTCTGCCCGTTCCTTCTTTGCCTGCTCCAGAGAGATGACATCGACCTCGGCCAGGGCTCGTGGATCCAGACAGATGAGCTCGGCAGGCACCTGGATGTGACACAGGACAGGGACGGGTGAGGAGCCACAGGAAGGTGACACCAAAGGACGGAAAGCGGAGGCGCTGCTGAAACCCACTCTTCCTAAGACCCCCGCCCCAGCCCGCGGGGGCGCAGGCGCGTCCTCACCTTCTCTAGCAGCGCCTTCACCTCCCACTCCTGCCGCTGCTTCCGGCTCCTGTATGGGTTACTCTCCAGGCCGTCGAAGTTGGGTTCGGCAGCCCCTGGAGGGAGAGGGGGAGCGTGGAACTATAAGAGGAACCTGCTCCAGGCTGACCAGCCCTGTGCCCCGCGCTCTCTCAGGGTCCGGCCCACAAGAGCCTCCTCACCGCTTGGAGCCCCAGCCCTGCCTGCTCACCAGGGACCAGCATGCTGGTGATGCCCCCGGTGTGCCCCACCCCCAGCACATCCTCATAGGGGCAGAACTGGAGGCCGTGCACATGGCCCGAGAGCCGGTGAGTGAGATAGGGCTGCTCCAGGGAAGGCGGGCTGGCCTTGCCCTGTCCTGCCCATATGTTGACCACGTCGCCCATTCCCGCCGCCAGCAGTCCCCGCTGGGAGAAGGCCAGGTGCCCCGCTCCCTGGGGCAGGGTCCGAGCGCTCAGAGGCTGGAATGTCCCTCGCAGGTCGAAGAGCTTCAGCTGGTGGTCCAGGCCAGAGGTGGCCATGTGCCTGGTTGTGAGAGCGGGGAGTTAATCACAGCATGAAGCATCAGGTCCGTTGGGGGAGAAGGCGACTGATAAGGATGGGACCACTACCACCACACCACACACTCCAGGCCCCTCTTTTCATTTCCCTTTTCCAGAGAGGAAACTGAAGCTCAAAAAAAGGATTGGGGTGAGTGGTGGAGCTAGAATTCAAGTCAGAGCTGTGTCTTTATTGTCCTTTCTCACCACATGTGAATGAAAGGGAGGATGCATGCAATAGTCTACACTCAGGGGTGAGGTTGCACCGCAGACAGGCAGCCCAGCGGTCAGCAGAGGGCACGGCTGATGGTGGTGGTCAGGGAGGGCTTCGTGGGACTTGAGCCATTCTAGGTAATGCTCAAGAAAGCACAAGAGGATCGCTTCTCAGCCTTCTGTCTAAGATCAAGTGAGGACAGCACAAGAGGGCTTCTCTGGTGGCTCAGTGCTGGAGAATCTCCCTGCCGATGCAGGAGACAAGGGTTCAACCCCTGATCTGGGAAGACCCCACTTGCCGCGGAGCAGCTGGGCCCGTGCGCCACAACTCCTGAGCCTGTGCTCTAGAATCTGGGAATTGAGCCCACATGCCCCAGTTACTGAGACCCTTGTGCCCTGAAGCCCACGGTCCACAAGGGAAACCACCAAATGAGAAGCCTGCTCCCTGCAACTAGAGAAAAGCCCAAGCAGCAGTGAAGACCCAGCATGGCCAGAGAGAAATAAAAATAGAAAGCACAAGGAGCAATTTGAAGATTGTAGCTGAAACTGAAAAGGTTTAAATGAGATTCACTTTAAAAAAACACAAGAAACAGAGATGTACAGCAGGTTCAAATAAATGAACATCAGACTGTGGAGATAGGAAGATGGAAATGAGTTTGTTTTCCGGGCTGGTAGAATATGGCCAGGAGGGGACAAACTGCAGAGGCTCCTGAAGATGGGAGACTAGTAGTTCCCAAAGCAGCTCTCTGGCAGTTACAGGCCACAAGGTGGAGACTGCGTGGACCTGAGAAAACCTTAGGAAGCAAGGAAGTGATGCACTAGAGGGCCCCTTTTGCTAGAAGGAGGGAGGGCAAGGCTGGTGACCAGATCCTCTTGAGAAAGGGACTTGCCTGGTGGCCCAGTGGTTAAGAATCTGCTTTGTAATGCAGAGGACTCAGATTCGATCCTTGGTCTGGGAACTAAGATCCCACATGCCATGGAGCAACCAAGCCTGGTCAGCACAACTAGAAAGGTCCTATGTGATGCAACTGAGACGCGATACAGCCAAATTAAAAAAAACTGTCAAAAATCCTCTTAAGGATGTGTGTACCGCGTAAGACATTTACTTTCAGAGGCTGGAGTTTCTATGGATGTTCAAGTTGCTCAGAGATGCTGAAGGGAGGCCAGCCAGGTCAGGGCATGTCTGTTTGCCAGAAGCCGAAGACTCACATTTTAACTTTGACTGTGAGCCCAGGAAGAAGACTCTTAAGGCGCTCCTCTAAGCAGAGACTTGGCCTGTGATGGGGCTGATGCAAGGCCCAGCTGGATACCTGTCCTGACAAGACAGACAGGGCCCAGCTCCACCCGAGGGAGAGGTCATGAGCGCAAACCAGGACTTGCTGAGGGCTCCTGGGACACAGGTCACAGCCTTCACTGAGCCAACAACCCAGGGCACCCACTGGCTCCTGCCTGTGCACACCCACCTCTGGGAGCCTCTGTGCAGACGCCCACCCAGGAACCAGATGGGCATCCAGACCATGCCACCATGCTACTGAACTTGCAGGAAACAGATGAACTCTGAGAATCCGGTCCAATCCTAATGCAAGCTTCCAGGAAGCCTGCTGAGGATGACGGCCTGTGGCATCTCTGGAGCCCCTGTGGCCAGTCCGAGGCAGCCGTGAGGAGGACCAGAGCTACACGGGGGTGGGCCTAAAGGCAAGGACCAGAGCTGTTTGGCATTGGGCTGTTAGCCAAACCTCTGTGAACAACTGACAGAGCCTTGAGCAGAAGCAGCTGACCCAGGCAGCGCAGGGAAGCCAAGTCCAGCTCGGGTCTAGGGGCCCACAAGGCGGCAGGCCCTGGAACAGGCCCCCCACTCTCCCAGAGCCAGCCTGGCACAGACCTGGAGTAAAGGGACAGAGCCAAACCACAGATCCACAGAGACACAGCTGGGGGTCCCGGGGGCCTGAGCAGCCAGCGGGCTTTCCTTAGTTGACAGCCACTGGGCCCCCGCATCCTGATTTCCTGAGCAGTGGTATACGAGGAAGAAAGCCACGTGGGAAAAAGTATTCTGACAGCAGCACCCAGGACACACGCAAAGAAGGAAGAACCAGAGGCTGGGACTGTGAGATGGCAAGAATGGCAAGCAGCAGACCCTGGAGGGGAAAGCAGCCAGGGCTTAACAGGTCGTGAGCAGGAATGGGGCGACGCAGCCAAAGCCACCAGCAGGGCCTCGGCTCCCAAGGAACACTCAGCCAACCGTGACTCTGCCTCTGCCATGACCGATGGCTGAAGATCACGAAGCTATGGGGGCAGCTAGTGTCCAAGAAGTCGTGTTCTGGGTGAGGGCAATGTGGCAGAAAGGGAGCGGGCCAGGAGGAGCCGTGGGAGGGGGTGAAGCATCCAGGGATGGACGCGGTCAAGGTGGGATGATGGGAGACAACTGAGTAGAACCTGAATGTTTCACCCAGCCCGTCAACTCATCAGCTGTTTTTGTAAATAAAGTGTAACTGGAACACCCCGCCAGGGCAGATTCATCCTTATACCCCCAGAACCTGACCCCAGAACCCAGCCTACAGCTGGCACCCAGCGAATGCCGATGGATGAAAGAATTTTAGAAAAACATGTGGGAACTTGTGGGAAAGATAGTCTGCGAGATCCAGACATACATACAATACAAACCAGACAAAACAGCTGTGGAAACGCAAACAGTCTCTCAGGAAGGGTGGAAATTCCAGGCAGACCAGCCAGCCCAAAGCCCCCACAGCACCAGCCAGACCTAAAGAGAACAGTCGTCTCTGATGACGATGAGGACACGGTGCTCCCCACCTACCAGGCACCGTGTGCGCCTCTGGAGACCTTA